GTCATCTACTAGGTGCTTCTACAGCCGGAAGTGGACACTTGAAACGCATGCATTCCTCATCACGGCTTCTACTTGTCCAGCTCTGATCTCATGTTGACTCAACATCGCACACGATGTAAGACAGCGAGTGACCTTTGTACACTTCCTGCCACCTCCATTGTTGTCATAGAGGTGTCCGAGCAAGTTCAGTTACTAGGCAGAGCTTCTTAAACCCCAATTATATGGTCGTTTCGTGCACAACACCTGTTTGTTCGCACATTCGGGCCCTGATCGTGATAGTCAAGCCACGGTGGTAGCTTCAACTCCCTGCCCAATTTTGCACCGCCAATATGTGATGAGTGCAAACAAATTACCGTAAACGGGGCAAGTTCAGAGATTTGACGTTATTGGGAAGGGTGAGAGGGGTCGGTATGATTCAGCTTCATTCCTCTCATGCCTCTACCCGGGCGCATCAAGATACTTGCAGGTAACATCACGTCCAAACGTTCTGCTTCAGCGTGGAGGTGTCAATCAATGGACGGTCTTTTCGTTCATGATGTATCAGATAAACTACGGGTAGCGGCTTTGAGCCCAGACTAGGATGTCGTACGACATACTGTGCTGGAGGAGATGGGTGCTTATGGCTCGAACAGATGTATGGACGGTGAAGGGAATGAAACTACGGAAGCCAGCATAAATGTGACGAGGAAGCTTTCCGTGCGAAGCCTCGACTCCCTCTTTCATCCTGATGCGGGCGCTGGCATAGGTTATGGTTATTGTCACGACTTCTGTTACCATACGAAGCGGGCATTGGACTGGACGCATCTTCTGGGTCCTCCAGGATGAAAGGGAATTAGTTGAACTTGTTGCTGCTAACTCGGAGGTTCGTTCTCATAATGCCGTGAAACATGAAATGGACCTGGATAACAAGAGCAAATACGATACCAATAAACTCCTACGTTAGCAGCCAAGAAAGCCTCAACCTCTCCATCACATCTTAGGCCCATCTCTTCAACATTTTGCCACTGTAGGCACCCGATATGAAATGTTGCTACCCAATCTGCGACCTGCCGTCACTAGTCTTCTTTCTCCAGTCTTCAAACTTGGAGACAGTCTCGTGCCGTTGTAACGAGATCCTCTGGGCCGAGATCTGAGAAATTTGCGAGTCCACCGTTGAAACTCTGTTTCTTCACTCAGAACTATGTAATCATACCAGTATGGGGCGGACGGGTGCCAAAATAATGCAGAAATTATCTGAACCAGAATGTATTGTATTGTATTTATTTTATGTTTGTGTATCCAGAATGCTTCGCTAAATTGCCCGATTTTTATGCTTCATATGTAATGTGTGATAAAACGCTCAATATATACCCGATAAAAGAAAGCCCGCCATTGGAGTCATTCGATGCAACGCTTAAACACTCGATCAAAACATTCAGCCATAGATAGTGGTATGGTGATTCAATACTCTTTCTCTCACTAAGCCTCAAGCACGGGCTCGCGTTCTCGCTGAGATCGGTGATGGTGGTGATGATGATGGTCCAAATCCCTTGACCGGGTGTCATATTCTTCCTCATCTCGGTGACGCCTGCGTCGTTCACGGTCGCGGTCACGGTCCTTGTCTTCGTAGTCTGAAGAGTCATCGTCTCGATGGCGGCGATGACGATGATGTCTTCTCCTGTCATCCTCGTCGCGGTCACGATCCCGATCCGTATCACCACCATCATCGTCGCGGCGACGTCTCTCTGTTTCATAGTTAGCACCAGCTCAAGCCAAGACTGAAGCCTGAATGTAAAACGTACCTCTCAAGACTTGTGTGGCTGAGGCATATGCCTGAATTTCCTCTTTGCTAAGTACTCGTAGTACTATGACAAAGTCATCTCTGACCTCGAACCTCTCTTTGCCAATGGTCAAAGCCTCAGGGTTAACAACCTTGCGGCTGATCTTGGTCCATTTTGCACCTGCAGGTGCTTCTCTGGCTTTCTTGTCTTCCTTGTGAGGTGCAACCCCTTCACGAATGGGATTCGGCTCCTCTGGAAAGCTAACCTTTGGCTGCTTCAAAATACCCTTGAGAGGCTTCTCATCCTTTTTATCGCGAGGTGGCGATACTACACGGACTTGTTTGTCGTCCGGAAGGGTCTGCTGGGATTCGCGACCACGGGGTTCTTCTTCAGGGTGACCAGATGGCTTGGAATCGGGTGGTGACCGGGAGTCTTTGAATGGACGAGCTTCTGTTGCTGTTCTTGTTTCTCGAGCAGGTGAAGAGGACTGTGACTTATTTTCGACCACGACCGGGATTTCCTTCTCCTTTTCTTTGTCAGTGGTCTTCAAGGCTGCCAGTTGGTCCTTGAGATGCCGCAGTTCAGAAGTATCATTCGGATTGAAGGCATTTGAATCGCGACGTCTCCGAGTGGACTTTTTGGCTTCGTCCGAATCAGATGACGAGATGACGGCTTCAGTGCTCTTACGGGACTCCCCGTTTCGACGACTGGTCTCTCTGGAATCACGATCCTGGTCACGCTGCCTTGATTGATCACGCTGTCGCGATACATCTCGCTCCAAGATTCTTGGGCGTTCACTTTTCATGGAATCTCGCCGCCTGTCACGATCTCGGTCTCTTTCACGTTCACGTTCGCGTTCGTCATCAGAGCCTTTACGTTTGCCGGGATCTTTGTCGCGTTTGTCGTCGTCTTTGACGGCAGGCACAAGGCCTACAGCGGTCGCAGCAATACCCAGGCCAGTAGCCACCTTGTCACGGAACCGAGTACGCTCCTTCTCGTCATCATCGCTCCCTTTCTTACTCTCACGTCTCTCACGGCGAGTGTCTTTGGAATCAAGCCGGCCTCGGCGTCGATCATCGCGCTCATAATCAGCATCACGTGGCAAGTCTTCATCTGATCGCTTTTTCGGTTGTTCCGGGCGACGTTCACGGCGATCATCGTGCTCGTCAGCAGTGTCAGTTCGGATGCCGAAGCCACGGGAAGTAACCCTGTCATCTTGGAAGTATGGTGCCTCGTATGCGCGCTCAGGCTCATAAGTATGCTCAGATTCTGGCTGATCACGAAATTCTCGCATTTTTCTTTCGTCTTCCCGGCTCCGATAGTAATCATCGTGATGCGAAGAACGGGGTGGCCCCTCTTGATACAACGACACTGGCCGAGGTCGTCTTGTGATTTCCGTAGTCGCAACAAGGGGAGTTTCCTGTTTTACCACTGTCGGTTCGGGGGTCTTGGAGGGCATCGGAGCAAAGTCCCGTGGGCTTTCGTACCCTCGAATCTTGTCAAACCCTCGTGTACTTGGTGGAGGACCACCCCGGTTATCGTATTGCCGATTGTTTGGGACGCTAGTTGTGCTTGTAGTTATGTAGTTGCGACTCAAGTCTGGGCTGGTATCCACGTTGAACGTTCGCTGATCAGCATTGTAGTTGACATTCGGGCGGTAGTAGCCACGGTCGAAACTCTCACGTCTGCGAGTCCTCGCAGGGCCTGAATGATCGAGATCGTAGCGAACCAGTTCACCGGCATTGGTGTACTGATAACCATCATCCCCATAGTCGATATTGCTAGAGCTCTGGCGGGGATTGTTCTGGTATATAGCAGAATGGCGACTGTTGCGGTAGGGGTCGTCGCGTACCAAGCTGTTGCTACGGTCTCTGCTGCTGCGAGCATAAGCGTCGTTTCCTGGCTGATCGGCATAGGAGCGGGCTGTGCTGCGTGAACGTATAGATGAGGCAGGTTGTGTATAAAACTGCCCATCGCTCGAACGGTAGTCATCCCTCAAGGGACTTCCGGGGCGAGCATTAGAAGAATGAGAAGTCGTACCGTTGGCGCGGTCCTTCTGGGTGGTCATGACAATTACTGGGGGTCGACTGGTAGAATCTAGTGTGGAGGACCGCTGGGAGCGTGTGACATCCCGTGTAGTCGGTCTGTGTGAACGAGGGTCCTGAGTAACGGCGTACGTCCGAGTGGTGGTGTTCGGGGTTGGTGTTGTAGAAGTAGTTGTAACATATCCTCGTGGTGTTGTCGAAATGGGCTGCTGTCGGGTCGAGGTCGGCATGACGTGCATGTCACCAGCATACAAAGAAGTGTAGCCAATGCTTGATGGCAGAGAAGTTCTCGCATGGTTGGCGAAGGTGGCCGCTCGTCCCGAGGACGGATAGCGATGACGGTCCGTCATGATGACGTGGGGCTACACAGGATTGCGAAGCCTATCTGATCGCCGAGCTGTCGAACTATGTGTGCTGTTGTGAGCCAGCTGCGAGAGAAATCTCAAAGGTACGAAATCGGAGGCGAGTCGTGAGAAACGTTGGACAAAGGACGATGCCGTGGAGAAAAGCGGTAGCGTTGGGACGCCAGACGTTGGATTGGGTGGAGGCAGCCGTGGCGTATCGTTCCGTGGTGCAGGATGACGGCAATCAACCTTACGGTAGGTATGTACTTTGAAGCCAAGGCCACGTGAGGAGGGGTCGAGCTTGGTCAGTCCTTGTCAGCGTGGACCGGGGACCAAGTAGCAGGGTCAGGTAGGGTAATGTCTGATATTATGAACAAGACTCAGGATTCGTTTTGCGGCCAAATAAAATGTCTGGTTACCTAGTTCGAGGCTTGACAGGGAATTTTTTTTTTTTTTTTTTGTTGTTGTTGTTGTTATCGATGCGCTTCCGCTTAGAGTGGTGGCGTTCAGATCGGATGACACTGATTGAGATGACGCAGAGTGACCAGTAACACTGCGTTTCAGAGGATGTAGTTGAAAACAGAGAACAATGAGGACAATTCTCTGGTAGAGAAAAGCCAAGACTGCAATTGAATGCACTCGGAGCTCAGCAGGCCGATTGAAAGGTGAAATGAGTGAGACTCGGGCGTATATAATGAAGAAGCCGGCTCGCGAGGACTATCTTTAGTGTACTGAATGGTTGGGGCTAGTTCAAGCAGTCGGTCAGCAAATTTAAAGTACGAAAGTGGGATCTTCCAGTAGATACTTACAAATCGTAAATGCTGCTATGGACAGAGTCGAGGGAGGATATAATGGAGCTATCAAGGCGTCTTGAAAGACAGCCCTTCTTTGTTCTGCTCTGTGCGTGTGCTCTCTCTTCTTGTACGAGGGTCCACCACCGAAAAGGTGGTCAAGGTGGGGTGAGGGGCAATACCGAGAGGATTAAGAATTATGGAGAGATTGGGAAGAGTTGCAGGGAGAAGGAAGAAGGAAGAAGATGGAGGAAGAGACAGTTGATGGTGTTTGTTTTGCGGGGGTTAAGGTCTATCTCCCGGAACAAACCCTCGACAACTCAAGGCGCCGAGCAAAGTAGCAGACTATTGCACTCCGCTATGGGTAGAGCAACGAAGTTAGCTGCCCAGTGCCAGCAACCCCTGACCAGTAACTTATTAGTAGAGGGTTGTGGGAGTACCGATGACGATCGATGCAGTGGCGTGGAGAACGGTCACTGCAAGCTGTATGTAAACGTTGACTCAAAGTTCCTATGCAATCGTTGTCCTCAGAACAGACCAGGTGTGTGTAATGATCTCGGTAAGAGCCAGAGAGCGAGTCCCCCGCAATTGTCAGCACCAAGAGCAGGATACCTTAGGTAGCCTCCTTGCCTAGGTCGGTAGCCAAAGCTATCGAACTAACTTGAGGGTTGTTATTTACCCGGTTTGGCCTTTTTGTTATCGTACGGACCTCTTCCTAACAGCACAATAGTTAGACAATTTCTCTTCCACATCATCTACATTTTATCATCTCGGCAACACCAGACATTGGCTTGTAGGTACCTCAAGAGTATTCAATATTCCGCCGTTTCTGAGCGGAGTTTTCAGTGGCACTTGCTCAGCCTTCCTCGGCTTTTCACCGGGCTTCCTAACTCAATTGAGTGATGGAACCTCCCAGTATTTGGGCTCTTAGAGAGCAACAACGGGGACAGCCGACGAGAACTTGAGCCCGAAAACTCAGATGCCCAAACCTAACCGTATGAACAAACAACCTTGATCCCAGGTTTAGGCTCAAGGTCAGGCTCGGGCTCGGGCTCGGGCCTTGGGCTGCTAACGGGTCCACTGGGGTAGTCGTCGATACCAGAGCGGGATGCTGAGGTACGTATCTATGAAGCGATTCTGGGTTACGGAGCAGATTTGGCGGAGATGAGTCTTTCAGGCTTCGATGTCAGGGACAGGGACTTCGTGAACCCTTGAATTCAAGGCGAATAGTCCCAGACTAAGGCCAAGGGGGCTGTCAGACCCGAGCTAGAATGTTCAACCGTGCTGATTCTTGAATCATGAGGCTCTGCAACCATGTGCCCATTGAGCAGATTGGCACAAAATTGACGCTAAGGGATGATAGAGAGTTTTGGTGTGGCAACGTTGGCTTTGGCGGTTGAATGGCGCGATGGTGGGTTGTGTAGTCTGGCGGACAATGACGTCTCGCCTTGGGCTTGCTTGGCTTTTAGAGTTTTACTCTGCGCCGAGTCCTGTTATTGTTGCTTGTGGCAATGTAGCTGCAGTATGCTGCAACGAGAATTATCGATAATAGTGACAAGGAACAGGAACTTCAACAGATCAAGCTCATTAGGTTGTTGCTGGGAGTGAACTATTCGATGAGAGCACGGCCTGCCTCTCCCACGCTCTCTGTCTTTGGCACCTAGCTGTTGGTGCTGGGAATGTAGATCCTAGCGCCGAGATGAGTAGGAACAAACCAGACACAAATAAGGCTATACCCGGCCGTAGGGCGACTCGTTGAAGCCTTGCCAATGTTAAGAATAAATGAATTGACGATTTGTGCTTGGCCCTCGGCTTTGGTGAAGTGTAAGTGGTGTTGTTTCAGTGAGATATCTAATATTTCACTCTTCAAAAAGCGACGAGCGATGCCTTTCTTTTAAGACAATATAAACTGAGGGTTTTGGCAAGTTGAGTTGGGCACAAAAGAACCGCCAAATAGGATGGGACTTCTGGCATCAGACAGCCACGTTCTTAACATTGGCAAGGCGTGTTGCTCAGTAAACCAGAGAAGCTCCTTTGTGGCTGTTCTATTTTCGTTATGCGCGTTTGTCGAAAATAATGATAATAATGATAATACGGAAACTAGCAGTTGTCCTATTGTGATTTCCGAAAGGATCGGTTTTGAAAATTCCAGTAATCATAATAAGGGGTGACTGTCATCACCAACAGAATCGTCTCCCAACTTCATGCCATGACTGACCGATGACAACAGAACGTACCCCTTCATCCAATCACTTGTGTCTCTATCGGCATTTATGCAACGTCTGCGCTTGGGCTGTCCAATCGCAAAACAATGACATTCCCCAAGACATGTCCCAAGCGCCTACTGAGACATTACTCGTTGGTGCTGGTGTATCGAGTCAGGGAACGGGCCGCTGTCAAAGCCACAGCATTGTCTTATTCGATAGATCCCCATGGACATATCAGAGCCCGCATCAACTTGCAGATGTCATTGAAGGTTATGGCGGTGCCTTTCACCGACCTTTTCAAGTTACGGGAGATCTAGACGATTCGCCTTCCATCGGTCAAACAGAAGGCCGAAAGCCCTTGTAATCTTGAGACTATCGAAAACTGTGCCCCATAATCCTTGATTTTGTCACTATGATGTGAATATTCAGGTCTTCAGGTGACAAGTGACAGAGCCCTGCATGAAACCAGATAGCCTCCCAACTTGGAACACCGGCTCCTTGACATTGCTGCTCCTGGTCACTCTCTTTCACGGAAAATCCTATCACTCCACGTATTGATCCTCTCAGGAGCCCGTCTTGATCTGCCGCTGGTGGCGGACATCAATGATGACAACGACCACTGAGGACCTATAGACGCATCTGTGAAGATAATGACTCCACGGCCGCGGCTAAGCTGCTTCTCGATCTTGAAGTGCTGGTCTTTGGCTATTCTGAGGCAAGGCTTCTACTTCAACTAGAGGGTCTGTGAAGGGCTGTTCACAAACGCGTATATAACTATACAATTCTGAAAACGAAACAGAGTTATAATACGTTTTGATCAGCCAAGGGCATCCTTCTCACAATATGGGGCAAAGTGCCCAATCAATACTGCTCCATAAAGGGATAAAAGGGGCAGTGGTGTCCATCTGGCTGCACAACGCTGGTCTTGCCGAGTATATTCCCCCAGAAGTAGCATTTTAAAATCTGACCTTGAATGAACCGTCTCAGTAACCTCATCACCAGTCGTGAAACCGGATGGCTTGAATTGAGTAAAAGTGGTTACCATGTAACCTGAAGAGACCGGCGCCAGTATTCTCAAAAGAAAAACATAATCATTGAATTCATGAGACTACGTAAGGTAAGTGCTATCCTTGGTCAAGACTCGGAGGTAATTTGTCCCGTCACTTAGCCTGGATTGACTTCCATTGCAGAGTCGCTAGGGCGTCGAGTCAAGTCGTAACCTCCTACTTCGCAGATCTGCAGCGCAGACACCTATCCCTTTTTTCGGCAAATCTATTCCATCCGTCTAAACGCCATCTCAGGTCCACGCTAAAAGGGCAGCCTGGAAAATTCTTCTCTGAACTCGATCGGCGAGCAGTATCACTCCAATTCAATCGTTCCTGTCGGTCTGTTAATATCACAAGTATGCGAAGGAGAAGCATGCAGGAGGCTCTCACCTGGAGGCTTAGACGTGGTGTCGTATACCACTCTCGCGATGCCATCGACTTCGTTCACAATGCGTCTGCTAATAGCCTTGAGAAGACTCCACTCAAACTCGTAGGGCTCAGCACTCATCATGTCCAAGCTGGTCACGGCTCGCAGAACACAGATGTAGCCATACGCTCTGGCATCACCCTGCACACCGACGGCTGTTGACGAATGCAAGTCAGATATCGATACAAATTCGTAAAATGCGAGAAAAGGGGTTACCTCTGTTTGTGTCAAGCGCGGCGTAGGCTTGGGTGACCTGGCAAATCGATTAGTAAAATTTCTCTCAAATGATAGGTGCTCGCGTCGAACCTCGTCATAAATTCCAGCCTCACGGATCATGGAGATGAAGATGTGGTCCGCCTTGCGCACAATTTCGACGCGTTCGCGGGTGACTTCGCCGATGATTCTAATACCCAAACCAGGGCCAGGGAAAGGGTGTCTCCCAATGAGCTCCTCATGAATCTGCAGTTGGCGTCCAAAAGCCCGCACTTCGTCTTTGAAACTATGTATTGTTAGCGATCGTGACAAGTGATGGCACTCTGATTAGATTCGTATTCAAGACTAATCACGTACAGTTCTCGGAGCGGCTCAAGGAGCTTGAGGTGTGCCTCCTGTTGTTTATCAGTATCTTCCCATTAAACTGTTGGAATGTGGGCGCAACTTACGCCGTTTTGCATGCGAGCAGGAAGACCTCCCGCATTGTGGTGAGCTATGCAATTGTTAGTGTCTATAACGCCATTCGCGAGGTGCATAAGAAGTCAGGATTAAGGGGTTTGCCTCGGTGTTCAAAGCGGAGGTGTATTTTTTCTTCTCGCTCTCCCAACGACATAACAAATGAAGAATGGTAAGACTTACATTTGATGGTGGAACTGGCAGCTCCCTTGAAACTCAAACTTTCCACAATATCCGCTATATCGTGTTAATATTTTCTATTCATATTGAGCAAAGTTAACAACTGACCATAGAGTGTTCCCTGAAGGAACCATTCGACCTTTCCGGCAAACGGTGTGTTTTCTGCTTCCTTCTCGATACTGTAAAAAGAAAATTAGTTAGTCTTCCGCGGTTCAGAAGAGGACAAGCATATGCTTACCGGAGTGCCTCAATTTCAAAAAGATCGATAACTTTGTCTGGGGTCAGCATGGTAGGCTAGTTGACTTCCAGGGGTAAGTCTCACAAGTCTCTCCGATAATCTTCCTCTTGGCTTCTGGCTCCGTGACTCCTGCAAGACGGCTGAAGAAGAGATCAGATCCGTCCACCACAGTCAGGTTAATCCCCAGGTGCTTGTCCAGAGTTTCCTTGACCTGTTCGCATTCATTTAGACGCATCAGACCTAAAGCACATTAGAACATTGTTCGTAAGGCGCAAATACATTGTTAAGCATCAAAATCTCACCAGTGTCCACTAGAATGCTCTTAAAGCGGTCTCCAATTGCTTCCGTCAATAATTTAGCCCTGTTAAGCGTCAGTAAACCAGTGTTCGATACAGAGCTTTTGACCTGGGTAACATACGCCACAGTACTGTCGACACCTCCGGAAACAGCTCCGATCTGCAAAGTAATTAGCAAGTTGACATAGAACGTTGGGAAAGATAGGAACACATACAACCTGTGCTTTGTCGCCAACCAGCTTTCGAATTCGAACAATTTCTCGCTCTGAGAAGTTGTCCATCTTCCAGTCCGCTCGGGCACCACAGATCTTGAGAGCGAAGTTGGCGATTATGTCAGTTCCCCGCTCTGTGTGAGAGATCTCGGGGTGGAATTGGATGCCTGTCATCTTATTAGTAAAGGTTGGTGACAGCTTCATGAGACACACATACCAAAGACAGGCTGAGAATCGTGGGCAATACCAGCAAACTCGCTGTTCTTGGTGGTGGCAATGGTCTTGAAACCATCGGGTAGATGAACGAGCTTATCAAAGTGACTCATTACAACTGCAGTCAGAGAACGTTAGATATCATAGCCAGGCCAGACGAACAAGGTCTGCAGAACGAACCATTCAAAGAGTCTCCCAATCCCTCGAAGAGACGGTCAGCATGGTTGCCAATCTTACGAATGGCCATCGAAGTCTCTCCGTATTCACGGGCCACGCCAGGTGCCACATTGTTTGGGTTTACTCGCCATGCTGGATAGCCGTTAGTCAATAATTACTCGGATATGTCCAGGGGGCGTAATACCAATTAGTTGACAGCCATAGCAAACTCCCCTTCATGACACATTAGCAGTCTTTTCATCATTCTTTTGGCGTTCAACATACAACACAGGAACTCCGAGCTCGAACACGAGCGGATCCACGTTTGGTGCATCGGGAGAATACACGCTTGACGGACCCCCGCTAAGAATGATACCAACGGGTTTCCAGGAAAGATCTTTGAGCTTCTGAGTACATGGTAGCATCTCAGAGTAAACCCCAATAGATCGCAGACGTCTCAAGATGAGCTTTGTTTAATTAGAGTCTTATCACCCACATAGCAGGAGTAGAGGACAAACATGACTGGTCTGGGATCCTAGATCCAAGACGAGGACGGTCTTGATAGCATTGGTCAGTACTACATCGGGATTTGAGAATTTTTAGTCCTTACATCGAAGGTAGCATGCGGCGGCGCCGCGTCAAGTGTTTCGCTCATTTTTGGAAGAGATTTCTTGTCAAATCTTCAGGCGCGATAATTGTAAGTGGTTATATTGGAGGGACAAGGGACCTTGCAAGCATCTACGCGAAGCGAGCAATGTATAACTAAAAAAGAAAAAAAGAAAAATTCTATTTGGCTGACTCATCTCCATACAGCCCTACCGATGTTAGTACCGGTATCGCATCAAGGTGGTCAATCTTTATGAAATCCCGTTAATTTCCGTAAGTACATACTCTTAACCATGTTAATCATTTAACCAGTACCTAGCCCTGCCAAGTCCTAACCACATTTCTAAGTACTCCGGCTTCGTTAGACGCATACCCCGATATCTCATGATTGTAACACAGAAGCAAGCCTCTCATAGTGAGCGATGACAAGAGCGCTGATTTATAGTAGCAGTTTCTGGCGACATCTTATAATCGAATGGTTACTTTGCACTCAACGATCGAGAAAACATTCAGACAGGTCTGTCTTATACAAATTGGTTAGGTCAGCTCAAGGCAATCCCAATGTTCTACTGCCGTTCATATTGCAGCACCCTTTTAGTAGGTGAGAGAATCAGTCACATTTCTACTCATGGGGTGGCAAGTCTTGCTTGAACTGGTTTATGCTGGTTTTGTGTATGAGTTTGCCTCAGGGCCGCGCAAACTCAATGCGAAAAGGGAAGAAAGAAAGAAACACATTAATTCAGTTATTTGTCACTGTGGGAATCATCGGCTTCCAGTCCCAGTACTTGTGAGAGTTGTTAGGCCGGGGAGTCTTTGATAACAAAAGCTTTATATACCTCATATCAGCATCAAAGTTATTTACTCAGTGCATTTTCTTGGTGCCATCTTTTTGAGAGTACTAGTAAACCGGGAGTGATAGCCTTCTCACGGCTATGTTAAGAGCATTGTACCTTCGGGTATGAGTAATCGAGAACTATGAGACCGCTCATGTGGCTGATCAATGTTTGCACTACTGAAACTCGAAAACTCGACCTACCTTTTCAACCCGGGACCTCAGAGCTTTCCTGATGGCCGATGGGGTTTTTCACTCCTAATCATGCAACAGTAGAGGGGTCCTGCTACTCACACAACATATCCACATCGCAACCATTCATGTTCATAGTACAGCCAAACCGAGCCTCCTGAACTCCAAAGGAGTTACATACGATAGTTTCTTCCATCGGACAGACACTTCAGGGGCAATCTAAACACAGTCAACTTTTGTAACTCGAATACTAATGAGAACAAGCACTGAACTAAAACCACAAGACTATGTGGGAGGAAAGGGTCTAGGGAAGGTGAACGTGCTCAAGAAAACGCCTTGGAGTAAGAAGGCGTCCACAAGCCTTCTCGAGAGAAGACCTTTCCTGCAACTAACTTGCCTCCTGAAGCCCAGAACTTGCCGGGACTATTGCTTCCCCAGTGCTATGAGCTCTCCAATGCCCGCCAGACCATCTCGAAATGGGGCTTCTCGTACTGAAACAAAGTCAGACACAGATGGAGACTGCTTTTGAAGATACACAACCTGTGAAACAATTGCAGAATATCTGGGAGAAATCGAGTTGTGCGTCATACGACCGGCTGTTTTCTCGTGGAGAGATCACAAGCAAGCATGAGCTCTGTTCTCAGTCACACTCCAATTGCAGAGTAGATTGCCATCAGGGTGCCATAAAAAAGATATCGACACTGGATTGCAAGAGAATCACCATCATACTATGCTCCCTAATCCTCCCATGGCCATCTTCTCAGGGATATTGCTTGTCATTACTTGAATAAAACAATAATTCAGGACCTGGTAACCGACCCACGAATGATTCCATGGCAGGTTTCACGGAGCACGGTTATTCTAAGACTGTTGGGGGAATGTTTAAACTATATTCATTCTCTGGCCAGCATCAATCTGATACAAAAAGGAGTCTCAGTGTCACCTCGTAGCAATAGCTTCGCATCCTCAACAAGAACGCTCACTTAGGCCAGGGCGCCCATAGGATCCCATGGCGGGAGAACAATTGCTTCCTTCTTGAGCACATCACGAACCTCCTTGCTGCAGAAGCGAGGGTCTACAACAGCCTGATAAACAAACTCGTCGAGCCAAGCATCACTCATAACAAACCATCCTTTGTCACCAGCCGCAGTACCCCAACTGTTCTGCACTCTCCAACGGACAGGCTTGCCGGTCTCCTCGTCCAGATGAACTGCAGTCAACACCATAGCGTGAGTCATCTGGCTCTCCTGTGTCGTCAATCGCTGTGCTTTGCTCATGCCGAGCAAGCTAGTGTTGAAACCAAGTTCGTAGTCGATGAGATCGAGGTCCATAATGCCCGACTTGGAGTCGGAGAACTTACCCACGTCGCTGCCGAAGAAGATGGGCAGACCAGCCTTGAGCATCTTTATGCATGTTCCCTTGAGGGTATCGATATCAACGTTCACGTAACTCACGCCACGTCCACCCACGATGTTACCAAGTCGCGAAACAGAGAGGAGAGAGAGCGGCTCGTGCCGAGGATCGTCCACAAGTGAGATCATACTCTCGATGGTGCTGGAAGTGATGCGAAAATCGGAACTATATATGTTCTTGGCGAATTCTTTAGGTGTAGCCTTGAGCTGATGTGACTTGCCATTCTTGTCGTTGTACTGCCAGGTGAAGGTTTCCTCGGAGCTTGGTGGTGGCCCAAGGAGAAGAGTCATGATGAGAGAGATCTCACGGAGCATTTTGTCTTTCGCCGACGAGAGTGTGGTAGCTGTGACACCACTCTTAGAGTTAATCAGACCCCGTAGCTTGAGTGCGAATTCACGAAGCTTGGTCTTGATAACACTATTAAGAATGCCGGAGCTCTGGGCATTCCATGTATCAGGGTAGAGTGTCTGAGGTACTAGACCATACTTCTCGACAAGGTTATAGACCATGTCCCACTGGCCACCATCAGAAACGATGTCGCCCAGTAAGGTTTGAACGACACGTCCTTCAAGATCCTCTCCTGCGGTATCGATGATCTGTTCCAGGAACCAGTTTGACTTTTCAAGCTTGTCCCAGAAGAAGAGATACTGCTGTGAGAGCTCAAAGTTCTCGAGATTATATCGCTTCATGATGGCAACTCGGAACACGTTTGTGGAGGCAAACAACCAGCAGCGGCCGCTTGAGCGCTGGTTCGTGATCGGATCTCCCTCGAATGGGATCTTGACATTATAGATCTGCTGGTCTGCGATTTCGATCGGCAGTGAAGTGAGCACCTGTCTCGGGTTTGCTGAGCTCAGTGCCGTGAGTGCGAGTCTCGGTGGATGTTAGCCTGGATAGGAGCGCCTTGGCAGCGGGAAACCTCACTTGTTCTTGGGATCTTTGAGAATAGCAGACTGCCAGGACTCGAGGACATGGATAGATAGACCTTGAGCCTCGCGAGTCAAGGGTCCGACCGTACCCTTCTCAGCGTCGCTGCTAATTTCGACGTATTCATCATCCTCCTGGAGCTGGAGACTACGGAGGCGCTCCATGACAGCCTTCTCATGAAGTGTTGGCTTTGATGGTTGAGCACCCATGGTCACTTTAATACACGGGGTTGCGGGAGGTGATGGATGGTTTGGAGAAGTAAATGTGTAGGAGAAGAAATCGTGCGCTATCAAGGTTTAATGAGAACTTGTGACAGAGTTTCGTCACGCGCTGTCTCATCGAGCATGCCCGAACTTGCGTGATTGATTATCAGGCTGTACGGAGTACATGCCCATCCATCTAAGCTCTGTATTACGTTAGCGTCGCGCGGGGAAACACCTTGATGATAAGAGCTCTGGGTACATGCAATATGCCTTAACCACCACGACAATCATTAACATAATGAACAGAGCTTGAACTGATTAATATTTATTATATATAGTAAAAAAGAAACTCACCAGGAGAATAACGAATAAAGCCAAAAGGTCACTGAACAACAAGCCAGACGACGGCAGTTGAAATGTAGGGTAGCAATAGACTTGGAGGTGTCGGCACGTCTGGGCCGCGTATCAAACAACGGGGAGGCAGCATGTTTCTGTATATGGTTAGTTCAGGGAACCTTGAGAGCTCAGTTGCCACACCTAAATCTCAACAGTGCAGTCAGTCAGATGTTAACACGGCGGGACACAGACGTTTAGCTTTATGTAGATGCGGAATCAATTGACAATTACTACAGTCCATGTACAGAACTTTCCCATCTACGCAAAAGACTCCAATATTTCCAGCTAGCCAACATGATTTATCCAATCTCGACACAAACAAACTTGAACCATCTTGATACATACAACAGATCCCCAGGAAACTTGACATTGTACAGGTGACTCTCAGGACAGTCTGGACCTACTCCTCATGATCGAGGTAAGCCCAGTAGTGCTGTTCATCAACTCATTATGGTGTTGGGAAATAGTCGCGTTACAAGCGGCTGCCCGTCTTCAGAAAACAGTAAACACGCTTACAGGCGAGAGCCGTGGATGACCTTCATGTCAACGGCGAGCTCACGAGAACCGTCGTTGAGGACGAGGACACGGACGGAGCCACGGCCAGACTCGAAAGCGCTGTGGAGGCGGGAGTAGAGGTTGGACTGGTCAATGACGGGGAGACCCTGCTTGACGTCACCAGTCTCGGTCATGGCAACGATTTGACCCTCCTGCATGTCGAGGACACGGTACTGCTTGAAGACAGGGCCGAGCATGGACTGAACGACAACGCTAGGGGCAGGGTTGGAGATGAAAGAGGACTCCTCGTGGAGCTGCTTGGTGAAGAGATCGACACCAAGATAGCGGTACTGACCGGTGGCAGAGGAGGTGGAGATGCGGATGACCTGGCAGGGACGGCCCTGGAGCATCAAGAAGTCACCCAGACGGATGTGGTGGCAGGGGATGCTGACGGTGTTGAGAAGGCAGTCAGCAGAGGGACGGGGACCCTCGTGGATGTCAATCTCAATATCGCGACGACCTCCATGGGCGATGCGATCACCGAGCTTGTGAGCACCGGCGCGGAAAGAGTTGTATTGACCTGCTGACAAGTTAGCTTGGACTGCTCGCGAATTCATTACTACAAGATTGGTATTAACTCACCGTCGTCGTCGTAGTAACCCATCTTGGACTTGGTGTTGTCGACCTTGGTAGTTTCGACGGTTTCTTCAGTGAATCTCACGTCCTTCTTGTTAGATGGACGAGCAACAGGTGTGTCAACGGTGAAGTTGTTGACCTGAGTTGTCTTGGTATCGCGGTACTGGGGCTGGGAAGAGCGGCCGTCAACAGTGAAGTTGTTGATTTCAGTCTTCTCAGAAGTGTATTGAGGTCGGGAAGAACGGCCGTCAACAGTGAAGTTGTTAAACTCGGTCTTCTCGGTCTGGTTGTACTGAGGGCGAGATGAGCGTCCGTCAACGGTGAAGTTGTTGATTTCAGTCTTCTCGGAGGAGTAGAATTGGGGAGCGGGTCGGCCTTCAACGGTGTAGTTGTTGGCCTGGAAGTTGTCTTGAGTTTGGTAGTGAGAGTGAGAGTGAGAGTGGGAAGTAGGGTCTTCAGTGGAAAAGGCTTGGGCAGGGCGGTAACGCTGGCGGTATTCACGTTCAGCGAGATCGATGGGGGTGGAGTAGTAGGGATGACGGTGGGTGTCGACCTCTACGTGAGTGTGAGAAGTTTGGTATTGGGAGGGTGGTTGGTACTGAGAGGGTTGGTATTGAGAGGGAGGTTCAGGTCTGGATTTGTCTGGGTTAGCTGATGGATGTCTATAGTATCTCGCTTGCGTATCATATGGCAACGGGAGGCGGGCGGCCCCTGAGGTAACTCCACCGCCTTGCTCAGGCCAGAGGGCTTAAGCGCACTAGTGGACCGGGGATGTGAAGCAAAAGCAAATTGGGTGCCCAGCCAAGCTGAGGTGGTTGGCGCGGTAGCGTACATGGGTAGGGGTGTGATGTGAGACGGTGTGTGGTGAGATGTGATGTGATGAATTGAGATGGCTGGGGGGACTCATGGGGCCGAAGCGCCTGTGATGAGTGTGGGTTGTGGCCAGCCGAGTTGAGGAAAGCGAAAGTGAAAATCGGACTGCGGAGGAAATGCTCAGGGGGAGGGAAACGACAATTGCTACCGTCACAAGTGATAGGAGACATGCTTTTTGACATGTTCCACCTGATCAACATGAGCGAGAGAGAACTGCCCTGACCTGGAGAGCTATGATTTCGCAGGCCATTGCGGACTCGTCTCATACGGTCGGCAAATAGGTAGAAAACGTGTAATATCGAACAACACCAGGGGGCCAAGGAAGTTGTAAAATCGGACATACCGTCGCGAGTCTTCACGGATAGTAAAGTGCTCTTCTTCGTGCTCGAATTTCTGGACACCGGGACGGCGGTAACGTTCTTCTTCACGCGTAATACGGACCTCTTCTTCGCTAAAGCGTTGCTCTCCGCGAGGAGGAACCTGTTCGGCGGTGACAGAGACAGAAGAGTATTGACCTTCCCGTCCGGCTTGGGGCTGTTGGGGCTTGATCTCAACCTCTTCGTGGGTTTTTGTTTCGGTAACGGTCTGGGTATGGGATTCGGATTCCCGATATGTCGATGGGAAGATGCTGAAGGGAACGGGGACGCGAGCCTCAAAGTCCAGATTTGCGACTTTTGATGGCGCGAGAGAAGCTTCTCATACAACCTTCCGAAACTCGAAAGGAAGACAAGAAGTTCTCTGGCTCTTGTTCCTAGAAACAAAAGTCGAAGAGAATGGAAAAGAATCGGTAGATGGCGAGCGAGGGCCTTCAGTCGTTCTTTTCTTCTTGTCTGGGTGAGGTTTTGTTTTGACGAAGTTGATGTGGATGGCGATAATTGGAGGGAGTAGGAGGAGAAGAGGGACCGAACAGGACGCAGAACGAAACTGGGCTTTTGAAGACGGGGGCAGGATTGGACGACTTGAGCCAAACTGAGCGTTGTGTTGCTCCCTCGGCAGCGCTGTGTCCTGTTGATCCGTTCTGTCCTGTTCTGTCCCAGCGACCCAGCCCTTTCTCACGCACTTTGCCCTCTCCATCGTTTTTACCTCGCTCACTCACCCCCATGGGCGTGTCGATTGTCTCTGGCTTGTTGTCGCCGATTGCTTGTTTACCACTCGTCTTGTTTACTTGCCAGGGGGTTAGCAAGTCGTTCTATTTACCTCTTACCAAATCGAGTATAAGCTCAAGACCTAAGCCCCGTATATGGTAGTGCTCCCCACCCACTCTCATTATTGCAGCCCCGTCTTGGCCTCGGAGTGCCACTTTTATCCCTTCCTCCTGCGTCTCAGCCAGAGACATTCAGCCAGCCATCGAAGCTCTCGAAGCTCTTTGCCTTATCTGACCTAGCCTGACCTTAGCTTCAGCCAGTCATGAAGAGGCCAGCTACCTAGCTGTCCGCGTCGTCAGCACAGGTTGCACAGCTATCCGCCCATCCTGTTCCACGCAGTTCCTCTTCCAGCTCCGATCTTCTCTCGCCCTTGCACGTATCCGAAGGGCCCATGCTCTGATGGCTCCCAACTGCCAACTCCTGACATCAACAGTAATAATAGAAAGTGGAACACAACCCCATACGAGAGATGGGACATTGGATCCGTCACCGCTCCGCATCCATTGAGCCTGGGAGACTGTGATGAGCGGCATCCCGTCATTTCAAAGCCTGGGGTCGAAGGTCTTCCCCTGCCTTCACATTCGTCTTAAAGCTCTCCGTCTGTCTACCCGTACCAGTGCTCCGTTCCTGGCAATTGGAAGGGCCTAGCAAAACAAAACAATGACTGTCCAGTTAGAGTTCCTCTTGAACGCCACATAAGCACCATGGTTTAATCAGGGGGCGGGGACAAGCATCGAGGCACTTTGAGCGCTACCACACAGTATCCCCAACCACTCGTTTATCATTTCACCAAATGGCTTTCTGTCTATTGACGGAACTCGAAAGATGATAAGGACTGCCCATTCTGAAAGTGCCGAACTGCACCACCCCCTTCCTGTATTCAATCAAGATTGGCCGGAGAATGAATGACAAGCGCGGAAACGGAATCAAGTCCTCAGACCTCAGTGATAGATACCCAGTTGGCCAACGGCGCGACGGCTGTTTGAGGGGCTCATGCAAGTTGTAGCCTTTGTCCCATTGGCTGCCATGTGAAATCCCAACCTCCTCAATTTAAGTAACTTTCGAATGGTTCAAATCAGCACACACCAGCTTTTGTTCAGCTGCAGCGGAAGTGGATGATCAGGCATGCATGAAATCAGTCGTAATGAGCCTGCCGTTGCTGTCGTGGAAGCCAACCATTGGACCTTGAAGCAGCGTTTTATGCAAATGCATTAATTAGTGCAAGTTCTGTTCAGTGGTAGAGTGGTCGTTCCCCAAACCCTCATGACTGAAGTACTGTACGGATAAAGCCTTGCCTCGGTAACAGTTTGGCCTCAGAAACTGACGTTGGGTGTCAAGCTGGCCTCCTTACTTTCATCAGTTTCAGAGGCTCCTACGGTAGCTACTAGTACCTACTTAGCCCATGTTTGAAACCCTGCCGGCTCATCACGTCGTTCGTTGGCTGCTGGAAGTTTTGCCCTTACTGCATTCAATGCATTATAACTGTAATCATTGACGTCTGACGACGTCCAATTGATTGCATGCTCTTCTATTACAGTGCACCCATTCGATTTCTGCTGACGAAGCACAGTCTATTATTTCATGGTTAGTCCGGATAGATTCTCACAATCAATAGATCAACAAACTTAAGTAGGCTTCTATTGAAATACGCCAAGCCTTGGTGTGGTCTCGGCTTCTGGTTGCTGTGACAACTAGAAAGCAGTAGCAATTTGCTGACTATGGATCCTTATTTGAGTTGTTAATTTGCGACCTGGGTCTGATAATCTCAGGCCACCACTAGCCTCTGGCGTCAGCCTTCAGGTCCCAGCCGCGGTTCGAGATTTGTACCCCGTGCGAAACGCGATTCGCGAGCGGCTTTGATGTTGCATTGAATGGATCGATTGATTTGAAGTTTAGTACGTAGTCAACAAACTGAACAGAGTTCCTCGGCCCAACGGCATCTGCTGGATTCTCACGTGTGTCCTTGGGCCAAATTCCGCGGCGGAATTCGTTGAGACTTGTGTTGTGCCGATGCCGTTTTCTGAGACAAATCTGGGGTAAGCCGTACATACGTTACGTGACGATGCGTTACGCGTGTTATCAGAACCCCGATGAAGATGCTTATGCAAATCTGATGCGCATTTTCAGATTTTATCTTCCGCATATTCCATCGATTTCACTAGGCTCCAATAGTAGTATTTCTACGAATAAGGAATTCCCCAACCGTTGCTGCAATGTGTTTACATAGTTCTCCATGTTGCCTTGACGTCTGGGTAACACGATACGGCTTATTTAGTAAGACGGTCCAGTGCGTTTCTTCTGTGGATTGGAAGATCCTCGTACGGGCATCAGCCGATTTTCGTTTTTTATATGAATCGCTGAAGCTTCTCACGTCCTCCTGAACCTAGTAGTAGTCACACGCGTAGAAGGACCAACTCTAGTCCGATGTTTTTGAAGCATCTAAGCATCTAAGGTGTCGAAGCCATTCAGAACGAGGAGCATACCTACCTAGTGTATTGGCCTCAAAGATTCTTGCCTATTTATAAGAACAAGCTTCAATGGCAAGATCCTCGTTGAGTGCCTCGGTGGTTCATACATATAATGAAATTCAGTCACGTGTCACCTGGATGATGTCAGCATCGTGCCCCTCCAACTACCCCACGACAACCAAGTTGCCCGCGATGATGATGTCGCTAGTATAGCTTGATATTTTCATGATTGTATAACGCTGTTTTGAGCGAAGCACTTGAAAATGAAGCAAAGATTCTCTTCTTTGGATGTTAAAGTAGGTCTTTTACCGAAGCTACTACCTTGAACTGTTTCCTAATTATTGAACCAAGATCATTGCGCATGAGCTCCAGGAACGACTGGTGACTCTTCGACTCTCCAACGTATACGACCTTTCGTCCAAGATTCTCCTGCTCAAGTTTGCGAAACCAGACAACAAAAAGCAGCTTGTCATTGACACGGGCTTCCGCTGCCACTTGACGAAATTCGCGCGTACAACTGCTGCGGCCCCTTCCGCTTTTGTTGCACGTTTAAGAAAGTTTCTCAAGACCAGACGGTTGACGTCAGTTAGACAAGTGGGCACCGATCGAGTTCTCGAATTCGAGTTCAGCGATGGCCAATACAGATTGTTCTTGGAGTTTTTTGCTGTGCGTCAATTGCCATACGATCCAGAAAAGCCACTGACCTTTATGTCTTAGAGTGGTAACATTATTCTCACGGATGCCGACTTGAAGATCCTTGCCCTCGCAAGAACCGTTTCAGAAGGTGAAGGTCAAGAACCTCAGCGAGTCGGCCTACAATATTCCCTGGAAAACAGGCAGAACTTTGGCGGAATACCTCCTTTGACAAGAGAAAGGGTACAAGATGCCCTAAAGACTGCCGTGGAAAAGGCAGCCGCCGCTACTGCATCATCAAAGAAGCAGAAGGGTAAGCCTGGTGGAGATCTGAGAAAGAGTTTGGCTGTGTCAATTACAGAGTTGCCTCCAGTGCTTGTAGACCACTGCCTGCACACAAATAATTTCGACACTACTATCAAGCCTGATGAAACACTGGCCAATGAAACGCTGCTGGCCGAGTTGGTCAAGTCACTTCAAGAGGCCAGACAAAGTGTGGAAGAGCTCACCAGCTCAGAAGCATGCACTGGCTACATATTCGCGAAACGTAGGGAAAGAACCGAGGGAGCAGAGGCAAGTGACGAATCTAAGACGCAGCGTGACAATCTTTTATACGAAGATTTTCATCCGTTTGTCCCCTACAAACTCAAAAAGGACCCCACCATTGAGATCCTTGAATTCACAGGATACAATGAGACAGTTGACGAATTTTTCTCATCTTTAGAGGGTCAGAGACTGGAGTCCCGACTAAGCGAGCGAGAAGCAGCTGCGAAGCGCAAGTTGGAGGCCGCGCGAAATGAGCAGAGCAAACGAATCGAAGGGCTTCAAGAGGCACAGGCCCTCAACTTTCGTAAAGCCGCCGCCATTGAAGCGAACGCTGAACGAGTTCAAGAAGCTATGGATGCTGTCAATGGATTACTCAGCCAAGGAATGGACTGGGTAGATGTTGGCAAATTGGTGGAACGCGAGAAGAAACGGCACAACCCCGTTGCTGAGATTATCAAACTTCCTCTAAATCTTGCCGAGAATCTCATTACGCTTGAGCTGGCCGAGGAAGAATTTGAGCCAGAGGAAGACGACCCCTACGAAACGGACGACGACAGCACCCTTGGTGACGATGAAGGTACATCGACAGCAAAGGCAAAACAGGCCAACAAAGCCCTAAGTGTGGAAATCAACCTTGGACTTAGCCCTTGGAGCAATGCTCGAGAGTATTTTGACCAGCGGAAGACGGCCGCCGTAAAGGAAGAAAAGACCCAGCAGCAGGCCTCAAGAGCCCTGAAGAATGCAGAGCAAAAAATCACCGAGGATCTCAAAAAAGGGCTGAAACAGGAAAAGGCACTGCTTCAACCAATTCGCAAACCAATGTGGTTTGAGAAATTCGTTTGGTTTATCTCATCCGATGGATATCTTGTGATCGGAGGCAAAGATGCCCAGCAAAATGAGATGATCTACAAGAAATATCTCCGGAAAGGAGATGTATACTGCCACGCAGATCTACATGGGGCATCCAGTGTTATCATCAAGAACGACCCAAAAACTCCTGATGCGCCCATTCCTCCAGCAACACTGTCTCAGGCCGGATCACTCGCTGTATGCTCGTCGAATGCTTGGGACTCGAAAGCAGGCATGTCTGCATGGTGGGTAAACGCTGATCAAGTTTCCAAATCTGCACCGACAGGCGAATTCCTACCGGCAGGAAGTTTCATGGTCCGGGGAAAGAAGAATTTTCTGCCTCCAGCTCAACTTCTACTAGGTCTAGGTGTTGCATTTAAGATCAGCGAGGAGAGCAAAGCTAAGCATGTTAAGCATCGCCTTCGCGATGCCA